TGTTTATATATATATATATATATATATATATATATATATACATATACTGTGTATATATATATAGGAAATACATTTTTAATTGTCATTAAAACAATGTCCTGAAAAACCTCTGATTTCACTAACGATGAGAATCAAGTATTTCAGGACTATTCTGATTTTCCGCATTGTTTTAATGACAATTAAATGACAATCTTCCCTGAACTCTCATTAATGTAATGCAAAAAAATCCCTCAAATAACACCGAGAGCTACTGAGCTGAATTGAGCTTTCCAGCTGAAACTGAATGTGTTTCACAACATTAACACTGTTATTTTCCTGTTTATTACCATGAAGCTGCTCTGCATCGAAGCTCGTTTCTGCCACGGGATAATAATAACTTTTTAAAATCGCACAACTTTGTCTTTTTTTCTTGATATAAAGTTGCAATTTTTGAGCAGAAAAGTTGAAAACGTGAGACAAAAACTCATTGTGTGATATAAACTCAAAATTGCATGATAAAGAATTCTAAGTTTCTCACAAATATTAATTTATATCTATATATGAGTTTTTCTCAGAACTGCATTGAAGTTACAATTACCTCTGTGTTTTTTTTACCCCGTGGCGAGTTTCTATAGCTCTGAAACAATCTATACTGCATAAATTGCTATAGAAATAACTTTGACTTGACATAAGTGAAAAAGAAAAAAGCCTGTGAGTGAGCCGCAGACAACAGCTCACCTGCTTGGTCTTTGACCTGCTGATGGTGTCTGAAAGAGGCTTCTTCTTCTCTTTCACTGCTGTTTTGGAGAACAGTTCGACAAACTCCTCAAAATCCATGGATGGCTCCTCGATCTTCTCCCATACGACAGAATGAGAGTCCCTGCGGAGGAAAACACCTGCTTTACCAACAAATTAAATCACATTATGATCTCTGCAGCTGAATATGAATCCAAACTAACATTAACTGCTTTTAATTGAGCTCATCTGATTAGATTCCGCATCTCTCTGGAACACTTGATTGTGATTGGTCAGTGGTGTTTAATGTCTCTCGTATCACAACACAATCTTTCTGCTCACATAATTAAATCATTTACACTCTAATCAGTGTTCACTGTGAAAGACTTCATGTTGTGGGCGGTTAGCGACGTTGCTAGGGCACGGCATCCTGGTTGCTAAGGTGTTTTAGATGTTTTGTTTCTGTCTAACATGAAAGGTGAATCTGGTGAATCACACACCCCAAGTGCAGGTAAAATAAATAAATGAATGCAGTATATTTTAATTAATGTCAGGACTATTACATTTTTTTGCACTGATGCCGTTACTGACAAATTAAAAATTTCTCCCCTGGACTCTAATGACCTATGCCACAAACCCAAACATAATAATAAAAAAAAAAAAGATGACTTAAAAAAAAAAAAAAGTAATAAATAACTTTGTTTATTAATTTATTTAAACAATAAATAAATAAATACAAATATAAAATTTGATTATTTTTTTTTTTTACAAATACAAAAAAAAATAATAAAAATAGTTCTGATTTTGGGCTGAAATCTCACACACATTCAACGTGTTAAAGATGAAACATTTGCATCTGTTCATCATTTACACTAATTTACACTGATTGTGTAAGTCATGCTATAATAGGTGGTTAACAGGGTGTTGCTAGGGCACTGCATCCTGGTTGCTAGGGTGTTCTAGGTGCTTTCTTCCTGTCTGGCATGAAAAGAGTGATTTTCTGGTCTGTAGATATTCCTATATTGTATTTTTTTTTAAACTTGTTTTATGGTTCAGCGGGTGAAAATCTCAAATCACCAACTACGAGCACTAGTGAGCAATAGTGATGTCTCATCAAACACCACTAAAAACTACAGTAACTATGGTATTTTTTGGCCTTCAGCAAAATAAAGAAATGACTGTAAAAAAGTGAAGCAGTGCAGTACTTTTTGGTGTGCAGCTGAATGCGAGTCCAGTACAGCGGTTTCATGGGTCTCGGCGGCTCCACCAGGCTTTTGCGAGGAGGTTTCTCCTGCGCCGCTCCTAATGCGTACAGACCCAGCGGGAGCGGAGGAGGCAGAGAACCCAAACCGAAAGCCAGGGGAGGACCAGGAGCCAACGGCGGAGGACCTGGAGGAGGAGGTGGTGCTGATCCTGGTAGAGGAGGAGGTGCAGATACACCTGGTAGAGGAGGTGGAGGAGGAGGTGCACCCATTCCCGGGAGAGGAGGTGGAGGTGGAGGAGGAGGTGCACCCATTCCCGGGAGAGGAGGCGGAGGAGGAGGAGGAGGTGCACCCATTCCCGGGAGAGGAGGCGGAGGAGGAGGAGGAGGTGCACCCATTCCCGGGAGAGGAGGCGGAGGAGGAGGAGGAGGTGCACCCATTCCCGGGAGAGGAGGCGGAGGAGGAGGTGCACCCATTTCCGGGAGAGGAGGCGGAGGAGGAGGTGCACCCATTTCCGGGAGAGGAGGCGGAGGAGGAGGTGCACCCATTTCCGGGAGAGGAGGCGGAGGAGGAGGTGCACCCATTTCCGGGAGAGGAGGTGGCGGAGGAAGAAGTGAACTGCCTGGGAGAGGAGGAGGTGCAGGAAGAGCGCTCATTCCTGGAAGTGGAGGTGGAGGAGGAGGTGCACCCATCCCGGGTGGAGGAGGAGGTGGTGGAGGAGGCACCGAAGCGCCCGGCTGCTGCTGGCACATGCACACAAACGCTTGAGAAGCAGTCTCAGTTTCTGAGGGCAGCGAGGAGTCGCTCCTCCCGGGCCCCTGCGCCTCCACAGGAGGCACTTTAAACCTAAAGCTCTCGTCCATAGGAGACGTCTGCACCGATTTGGCCTCCAGCGGCAGCAGTGCAGTGTTCTCCGTCTGCAGGTCTACATGGCAGACGTCCGGGAGGAGGCGCTCCTCTGCTCCGCACTCCTGGTCCTGCGTCAGCAGCACCTCCCGCTCCAGCAGGGGCTGCTGTTTCTCCAGCTCGGCGATCTTACTGCGCAGGTCTTCGATGGTCTGCTCCAGCTGCTCGATCACGCAGACGTGCTCCTGCTTCAGATGCACCGTCTTTATCACCGACTCCTCCTGCAGAGAGACAGAGACAGGCGTGATGAAAAGCAGACGAACGCTGCAGACAGAAACAGACATAAACCTGGGTTTCTCTTCCACTGGATTCCGTGAAGTCACACGCGTATGTGTCACGCGGTTAAACGTGTTTCCTGTGGGAAGAAACCATGCTGAAGCGTGGACAGAACTGATGAGGAGCAGCTGCCTTCAGACTCCAAACACGACAATAGATGCCCGCAATTCAGGAGACTCCACAGGACCTAATAGAGAGCAGCACACACTGATGTTTAATGAGAAACACTGAGAGAAGTGGCTCTGACAGACGTTTTCTAATCGCTATACACGGTGCAAGGCTAATATTTAAATTACATGTATGCAAATTTTTTTATATTAAAAAAAAAACTATTCAAATAAAAATAAAACTTTTACATAATTAGATAAAATTAATAGTTAATAATAAGCATAACAGAATAAGGTATTAATAATTTACATAAACAATTGTGTATACTCATTATAATTAATGGCTAATTGTGTGTAAAAAATCACAATATATTATAGTAATAATTTGATATATTTAAATATGATTTATATTATCAATTATTTATATAAACATACTAATGCAATTATTAGTCATTAATTGTGTGCATACAATTATTAATAATTTTATAATTATTTGAATTTTATTTAAACAAAGCATTTACATAATCATATTAATAGGTAATTAAATACATTGTATATTATATGTAATGTAAATTAATACAAATTCTCATAGTAATATATTTAATTGTATATACAATTTTGTGTGTATACATAAATATAAATGAGAAAAAAATTAATATTTTTTAATAATTTCTATTAATAAAATTAACGGCAACAATTATTGAATTAAATTATATTTTATAAAACTATTTAAAGCATTTACAAAATTGTATAATGCTAATAGGTAATTATATATGCATGTAATATAATTATTTATATTACAATAAATGTGTATACAATTGTTTCAATTAATATACGAATTAATAATTGTGTGTGTGTGTGTGTGTGTATATACAGTATATATATATATATAATTTGAAAAAAATCTATTTCATTATTTATATCAATATAACATTTTATTTAAATAAAGTATTTAGTTATATGTGTGTAATTATTATAATTAATAACTGTGTGTATGCATATAATATGAAATAGTGTAAAAGTATTGTTAGAACAGAAGGTCCACTAGCTTTCTATAGTAGTACAGGTCTGAGGGACTGAAGTGTGCAGTGATGCTGCCCTCTGCTGGTAGAGCACACTGAAGCACACTTCTCCTGAGCTCATGACACGTGTTTATTTTCTGTTTCTGAAATCAAACAAACTCTGGGAACGATTAAACATGAGTCCAGCAGCAGGGCACCGAAACAAACAACATAATCAGCCCAATAACCTGCATGAGTGAATATGGAGTGCTTATGGAAATGAGATGAATTAATCATGAGACGAGCTTCTCACGCATCCATCAGCTCCAGACAGACACTTTCTGCATTTAAAGACTAAAGCATGAGGACGTGTGATGATGCTGCTTCAGCTTCAATATTACACAGTACCATGGTATTACCATGCTTCTTGGACATATATATAATACCATGAGTAAAGAGGATGTATTTTCATTTAGACGTTAATGTGGGGGGAAAAAACCAAGGGCCTCAGAAAGATGAATGACAGGCGCACCTGAATTAGCCGGATTTCTTCCTCCTGTTGTTTCTTAAGGTCCGAGACGACGGCCTGATGCTCTGAAACACACGGTGCAAAACACTGTAAAACTGACTGGAAATATGAACCAAGCTTCAAAACAATCACTTTTATTCTGCGAGCTTGTTTTAATCACATCTAGTAACTTCATGAGCACTACTGAAGGATGGACGCAGATGCTGTGCATTAGTTTGGTAAAGAAACCCATATTTAGAAACAATTTCATAAGCATTTATAATCAAAAGTTTTTTAATATAAAAATACAAAATATATAATAAATAAATATATAAAACACAAAAAAAAAAAAAACAATTAATAT